TCAAATTTATATTTACTGTAAAAACAACTTTTATACTTAAAATTATTATTTTTAGGCTCTGATATCGAATTTTTATTCAGATTTTTCTCATTTCTTTAATTCTTTTTAGGGTATTTTCATTAATTGTTTCTATTTTTAAAATATTATCAGTTATTCATTAGTTAATAGTAGTCTGAATTAAGTTCTGAAAACCCGAATAAAAATCTGGTATCAGAGCATAGAAATAATAATTTTAAGTATAAAAACTGTTTTTACAGCAAATATAAATTTGAGGACTAAAAGATCAAAATAAATATAGTTAGATGACTAACTATTCTCTAACAGAATAGTAAGTTTTCCGTCAAAGATAACCAGGTAGACGAAATTGAAATAAATCCGAAAGTTAATAGACCACTTAGAAATAAAATATAGTTTCTAGACTAAAATGAAATCAAAGTGATAGTTAATAGACTAAAAATTGAATTAACCCAAAAACAATGGATGAATTTTGTAAATATTATAGCTAGAAATAATTTTAAAGTAAAATTTGAACATATCAAAAGTAAGGATAATTATCTTGTGAAGAGCTAAGCAGATATATTCACTCTTCTCTTGTGTAGGATCAAAATGAGACACTTGACTTTAGGCAAAACCAACAATAGAGGTAACACCTCTAGAGTTAGATCAAGTTAGATCCATTTGCTGATCAACTCCTAAACAACAATTGGGGGAGCTTGGGCAATTTGAACCTTTTTAAGAATAATTTAAAAAGTTTAGCCCAGCATTGGAGAAAATATAATAAATTTAATTGTTATGTTTTAATTAAAGGAAAAACCCCTAGAGTTTATAAGAAGTGGAATGAAATTTTGTTCCCAATACAAGACTTTAGAAAAACTACTCTATAAAAGGTTTTATCTAATTGAAGAAGCTATTCAATTTGCTCAACAACAACTTGGAGGCAACTTTTTCATTAGCCTTTATTTTTCTCCAAATTTGCAGGAACCTTCAAGTGAGATAATGAAAACCACCTTAGCCCCATTGGCCAATGGAAGACAATTAATTCCCTGATTGGGTATTAATAAATTGTTAATTAACAGATCCTCATCAACTTTTACATCTATTCTATTGGTGGATGACACTCAAAGGTATTTCAATCGAAGTGTTCCCTTACTTGAGCTACCAGAAGATTCAAGACAGCTAATCTTTCAAAAAGCAGAAGCCTTAGGTCACACTAAATTGAAGGTAGTTCAAAAATTCTTTCAACAAATAGCTCAAGATGGTATTAACAGAGTTGGCATGGGCTTTACTTGGGACACCTATTATTCTACTACAAAATGAAGACTCAAATGGTGTAATAGGTGCAAAGGAGTAACTACAAAAAGGAATTCCTCTTGAATGATTTGATTGTCAATGTCAACTCATTTATAGCATTTGTAGAGTTTCTCTGGATCTATCCTTATATGATCCAATTTGGTTTTTATTTGAAGGGAAAAAGATTAAGTTAACTCCATAGTTACTCTTGAATTATGGCATTCTCTTTCAAGTAATTTTTACAGAGATCAAGGATATAGATCTTGTTGGAAGAAAATTTGCTATTGCTGTCTTAGAAAGCATGCCTCCTAATTATGTTGAAGCATTGATTTAGAGCAAGGCACTTGAATGGAAAGGTAGACACTTGCTTCCAGCACAACAAAAAATTATTTTAAGAAGAAAAAGTAGTTTACCGCCTCTTTATAAAGACATTCAGGCTTAGCCATCCACTACTTACTTCCTCACTAAGCAACTTAGACACTTGGGAGCTAGAACAATGGCACACATGTAGGTCATGGATGATGATTTTACAACTGGATATACCTTCTTTATTGAGGATAATATTCAGAAAATTTATCTTGATCCTAATGTGTTTATCCACAGTCAAAGTCTAAGAGAGATTCCCTTCATTCTCTAGACAAGCTACAATTAACTACTTCATCTTTACTTTGAGGAGTATAAAAATGGTGAAGATCAATCTGAAGATCGTATAGCTGGAGTTGACATGGGTGGCGACCTTCCCAATGATTTTGACCCAAATGATAGGATAAATTTTTACGATGATCTTGACTTAGTTAGATGGGAAAATCTTGAAAATCAAATGGAGGGATAGTAATTAAATCAAACAAAGGAACAACATGCCTCACTCCTCACTCCAAAGTGACTACCATGAGACATGTTCCTCAAAAGCTTGCTACTTTTTATCTTTCCAAAAAGATAAAAACAGTTGACTATAGTTACTTATGTAAATAAAATTAGAGTTAGTTAATGATAATTACTTTTCTGTAAAAAGCTCAAAAATTAGAGAGCTGATGCTTCTCAACATAACTTAGGTCTAGTCTACCGGGGAGGGAAGCTCAGAAATTAGGGAGAGAAGCTCGGAAATTAGGGAGGGAAATTGGGGAATCTGCATGGGAAGTAAAAATAAAGCAAGTTGAAATTAAAAAGAAAAAATAAAGTGTTTAAGAAATAAGAATTATATAGACAGAACACTAA